GGCCGGTGAAGGTAACCTTGCGTGCGATATTTTCCCAGAATAAAGCGGTGTCGGAACTACTATGAGATCCTGGGGGTGGAGAGGGACGCCAGCGAGGAGGAGCTGAAGAAAGCCTACCGCAAACTGGCCCTGAAATTTCACCCTGACAAGAACCGCGCTCCCGGGGCGACCGAGGCTTTTAAAGGTGAGGGTTTGGGGGAGGGGGGGGGGCTGGCCCGGTTTCCAGAGTCCTAAAGCAAGATTAAAACGGGGACAGACCGCCCCTGGCTGACGGTTCTGCGCCTTATATAAATCAAGGCATCATGCAGGCCCGTATAGCTTGTGGGGTTTACAGATAGATGTGCGCATCTCCACGAAATCCCGCAGCTGCTCGGCAAGGTTTGGCTTTTAATCTCTGGAATATGGATTAGAAGCAAAGGGAAACATATCCTGAATCTCGTTCCTAGGTGCTGCGAAAGGTGCGGAACGACGCGTGGAAGTGACACTGGCCGTGCTGGAGAGTGTGGTGTTGTGTAATCAATAACTGCTCTGTGTCATGAATGAGATTATATATGTAAGCAAATGAAATTTGAGTCCAATATTCTGTGTCTGGACTCTTCAGTAATGTTGCAATCTAAGCTTGGATCTACATTAGCATCCAAACTCTTACATCTTTTGCCTTTTCCATGCTGTGTTGCAGCTGTCTGCAACAGCACTGTAACACAGTGTGAGGAAAGTAAGATACTCGTTCACAGTGTATTAAAATAAAGAGTTTTTGAAGGGCTTTTCTTAATTTTTTTGTGTTAGGGTTGTATTTCTCTATAAACTTGTTTACAGAAAGATCAAGGAAGATGAACCAAACAAACGCTTCTGGGTGGTTTGATGTAAAGTGTGAAATAGATATGCTGTCCAGTTTCGCAAGCATCTCTGCCAACAGAAAAACTTGGAATATCATTCTGCATTTTAATTAGTCACTGCAGTTATTACCTTTGTATTAACTGTATGTGGAGGTGCACTTCTATGTCGGTGCTTAGTTTGATCTGATAAAATGTTAACAGTCTCACTCAATCTGTCTGAAGTTGTCTCCCTCACCTCAGTTTTACAAATATTTCAACTCTCTCTTTAACGCTTTTGTCTTTCTCCTGGTATCAGTGATAGCAGGAGATAGGTTCCATCACAGGTAATGCCAGTGTTGTAACACTTCTTTTACAAAGGCAGTTCTTTCAAAAGTAACCCGGTCTTTGGTCAAGCATAAATTTTCTATGCCTGTATGGGATTTTTTGCTACTCTGCTTATAGAAGTCTGAGATCTGGAAATACTGTGTGATCTGACTGCGTAACGCTTCTTTTAATTCACTCTCCAGCAATAGGCAATGCTTTTGCGGTTCTGAGCAACCCTGAAAAACGATTACGGTACGATGAATTTGGAAGCGACCGAGAGCATGTCAGCACTGGCCAGGCCAGGCACTATAATTACTACACAGAATTCGAAGCAGACATTACACCAGAAGAAATATTCAATGTGTTTTTTGGTGGGCACTTTCCTACAGGTCAGTATCTGTCTGCAGTGTTTTTGAAACGCAGTGCGCTGACACTAGAGCTTAAAGGGAGTTCAGCTTCTCTTGGTACTGCTCAGGGAGTTGCTTGTACATCTGAAAAGAGCAAAGACTTTTTTTTGCATTTACTCTTTTCTCCCATCCTAGCTTGTTATGCCTGAAAAAGCTCCCTTAATGCATGGTTTAAACTTCAGATTTTAGCAACTCCGTTCACCCCAAAATGTTGTCACATCCCAGCCTTGCTGTCCAGGAATGCTCTTAGAAGAGAGAGCTGCTGGTGGGGTAATGGCTGTTGCTGCCAGGGCAAGTTCCTAACCTCCCAGCCTCTCTTGAAAATTTCTGACAGTACTTGTGAGGGGTAAGAACATTTTAGCATGGCAAGGGGTTAGGCTCTTTGATTCTTGGGTAGGCAACGTTTTAATACTGGCTGTAGCTGAAGACCCTTCTTTCTGGTTCTGCTTTTATTCCCTCCATTGTCTGAAGCCAGCAATGGTAAGGGAGGTAAAATAAGGTGTGAACGGGAAGGGATCAGAGGTATCTTTGCTGCTGATGATGTACGTGAGACACCTTAGTGCGTTCCAGTGCAGCTGCTGGCATTGTGGTCTCAGTGCCCTATAACTAGGAAAACATGGAGGTTCATTTGGCTCGCGGCAGCTTGCACGCTGTAAAGAAATTAAAACTCCTTAGCGTAGAAGGTGATGCCTGCCAGGAAAGGCTGGCTGTTACTGGATATGCAGTATCTGGCAACAGAACAGTAGATCCCTACCTGTAGCATTTCCGTGCATGTCCAGCCTTGGCTTTTGTATTTGTAGTAAAAATAGAAAGACACTGCAAGATAAGTGGAATATGGGTTTGGATTAAAAGTAAATCTGAAAGGTATGGTGAGCTAAAGGGTCTTGCTGGCAGTATCTAACAAATTGCTTTAGCACTCTTGTAAACTTTCTCACCTCCAAGGCGTGGTCTAAAGCAACATGCGCACCAATTACTACAGCCTAAAGCCACAGATACAGGTAGTTATTTACAAGCTTCCCATAACCTGAGTCTGTGTGGTAGCATCTTGCAGCTCAAGGCATCTCAAATTGTTCTCAAAATTTGATTGGTAGATGTGCAAAGTGAGCCAAACTCAGCACGGCACACAGAGTTTGCAAGTTTTCTGTTTCTGACTTCACAAAAAATTGCACTTGCGTGGTGCCTTTTGCCTCAGTCACCAGTGAAACGTGGCCCTTGTGGAACGTGACTGCAGTGTAGCTGCAGGCAGCAGGGATGCTTGGAGTTGAGGACAAGAAATTGAGGAGCTGCAGGGGGAATTTGGGTACTGGGCATGGCAGGTTTAACAGGTAGAGTGGTATGAAGAAGTAAACGGGAATTTTTATCGAAGTGGCAAAGAATAAGAAAATAAAAAAAAAATATTCATTGTCATAGGTGGTGGTGGTAAACAACAGTTTCCTGGCCAAAAAAGTGTTTGGGTCTGAATTTATGTACATTATCCTAATCTAAAAGTGAATTCTAAATTACGGAAAATTGTCAGTTCAGTCATTTTCCAGATAGGCAAAGTTGACCCAATTTCTACTTAGCAAGAGAATTACTAGTAAGAGGGTGACCAGATGGTTGATATAAAGAGAACATTTTTTAAACTGTCGTAATGCTAAGTAAGACTTGTGTTTGTGAGCTGAGGTTTACGCTAAGCTGCATTGTTGTGCTGGTGTTTGTTTTGTGACACCTTGCTATCACCGGGCTTTCTGGAAATCTGGATAAGATTAAACTCGTTAGGGTAAACTTAGGGTACTCATTTACTTAGGATAAAATCATTTTTACAGCATTTGTGGGCATGTTTATGGCTTTGTTGTGGTTTTTTTTTTTTTAACCATGCATTTTTCCTCTATGGAAACTCAGTGGAAAAATACTAAAAATTAAAATGTTGAATGTCGTAAGTCTAAAGGGAGACTCTCCACGTGGCACAGTGTTGCAGTTATAATGGGTAGAGGCTACAAGCTGAACTTCCTTCTCATAAATGCACAACAGAAGGAAAGAAACTGCTGGCAGAAATTCTTTGAGAAACTTAGGATCTAGGAAAACTTTTTTCTAGGCACCCTGCAAAAGCCCTTCTTTTTTTCCCACACTTGCTTCTGTTTTTTCACAGCTTGGTAAAATATTGCCTGAGCAGTGTCAAATGATAGAAACAAACTTTCTTTTTCAAGGAAGCAACTTTCCTTCTACAAGCCAGCCTTGTTTGGCTCTCTGTTGGAGCTCTGACTGCAAACATGCCTAGACCCTTGGAAAAATCTTTGAACAAGCAATGAAACAGATGTTTTGACACAATAGCAAAGGTCACTTCTGCCCAGATTTCTTGCAGAATTCTTTGGGAAACTCAGAGAAAAGACAGTCTAAGAGTGTAAAATAACATGACGTCTTTCCCAGGGCTTAAAAATAGATTTGCATTTCTGTTGTTATGATAAAGCCACAAATTTCAATTCTCCAGTACAAAAGGCATTCTGAATTTCAAAAGAGGAGAGTGCAGTTGTTATTAAGATATTCATATGGTGATAAAATTGGAGTTGAAAGTTCAAATCGAAACAGCATAAGCCATTCTTTCCTCATTTTAGAATTTTTTAAAATAAATCAACTACATTCAGCATGCAAGAAAGGAAATCCTGAATTGTACTTTTTTTTTTTTTACTTATTTTTTAAATCTTTTTCCTTGCTATAAAATCGTTAAGCGAAACCATTAATAGCTTGAACGAAGAGGAAGTAGAAATGAGCAGAGAAGACCATATTCAGTAATTACGGGAAGCCGTAATTCGTGACCTGAGTCTGGTGAAGCAAATTAATTTTCCTGCTTAGAGCCTGGGAATGCAACACAAGCTGTGGCCTTGCAAGTGAATGTGACAAAAAAAAATACTAAAATAGGAGATACAATAAAAAGAATTATAGCATGTTTCTGCAGTTTGATTTAAATTAAGATGGACTTGGGGAAAACTTTACAATTTCTCTGGTACGCTTTTTGGAATGACATATTATTTTGGCATTTAAATCTGAGGTGTGTTTGCGCTTTGTAATGTGAGGTCTCACAACTGTAATTCAGGCTGTGGTGAAAATCATGACTCTCTCTTGGTTTCTTTTAATAGGAAATATCCATATGTTCTCAAATGTAGCCAGAGATGCACACTATTATCCACGGAGGCACCGAAATGAAAGAGCATGGACGCAGGAGCAAGAGGAGGAAGAAAACAGGCCACAGGTAGCCAGGAGGAGGGAGCTCTTGGGCTTAAATATTTCACCAGAGTGAGAGGTCCACTCACACATCTGAAGCCAGGACAGACTTTCCCATCCTTAAACGCTCAGTGTTTATTCTCCAGTGCTGCAGCCAAAATGGATGTTTCCAAAAGTAACTAGAGTGTCTTCTATTAATCACAACTTTAAAAGTACGCTGTATTGATAGGATTACAGGCCCTGGAGTTTCTATTTTGCTGGTGCTTACGTTTGCAAGCTCTAATGGTTGGTAATCAACAACAATTAGTCCAAATGTGGACTGGTAACAGATACGGAAATACTGGCATGTCCTCACAGCGTATTTAATCCTCCCATAAATTAGCGCACAGTTTCTGGCCAGGTGCTGCACAGGCTTTTTCCAACCCGGGGCAGGATGGGTCTGGGATACTTTTCTACCATCTGAATCCTCCAGATGAGACGCAAGGTGTCATTTGTCGCGAGCGCGCATACACCCGTGCCACCTGCCTTGGAAAAATCTTCCTCCAGAGGCAGTCTGTTAACCTAAAGAGATCGTTCTTCAAGGAAAATGAATTTTTCCCTGTGAGTGCCTTGTAGTCGGGCTCTGAAAAAAATCTGGTCCAGCCTATAGACAGCTACGGTGGAGCAAATGAATCCCACCTGCTACTGCGTCGGGTATTCTTGCTGCTATCCCAGGGCAAACAGCAGAATCTAAATAGCTGTGTATTATGTTTTGCTCCTGATCAGAAAATGCATTTTAGAAGGGTGGTTTAAAAATCAGATGAAGAGGAGAAGTAAAGATCTGTGTTTCCTCTATGGCTATCAGAACTCTTTGGTCCTTTGATATTTTTTTCCCCACTCTTTTGTTCTACTAAATTCATTCAAACAAAAAAACAAGAGCTTGCATCCTGTCCCAAGTCACACTACATATGGACTATCCCTTTCAGCCATTTTATCCAGTGTTTGAACAGAGATTGAGATTTTTAGAATGCGTGTAGCAAACTTCAGAAGATGCACGGAAAGCCGTAGGTGCAAATGGGGATCACAATGTGTTCCTTCAGTTTGGATTGTCAGCTGGTCACTGATGGGTGCAGCGCTGTGGGCATCTATCGCCTTGTGAAGGAAGCTGTAGATGACAAAAAAAAAGTCAGCAAGATATAATTGAAAGAAAATGGCTTCAAAGAGTTTTCTGAGGTTATTAATAAAGGTTATTTTGAAGATGTCAACCCTCTCAAAATTCCAAAGTACTTCCTCTTTTATTCTTTTGAGTTTGCATTTAATACGTTGTTGATAAATGATAGATAGCCTGGTCTCTGTGAACTGATGCCATCTATATCTTTTCTTGACTACTAATTATTGTTGTTCTTTTCAGAATTCATATTCTGCATTTATTCAGTTGATGCCAGTTTTCATAATAATAATAGTGTCAGTTATAATTCAACTGATGGTCACAAACCCACCCTACAGCCTATTCTACAAATCGTAAGTCATTTAAAAACACATTTTTCGGGTCTTCAGTGTTTGCGATAAGGAGGTAGACCGAAGTCGGACTTAGCAGCAAAATGCATGTTAGCGTTCTGTTCTGCTCTTTCTAGAAAGTGTTATCAATTTGTAAATAAGGAAATACCAACAGTCTCCATTGACAACTTCTCTTAAGCGTTATCACTATGAAGTTAACTATGGAGAGCTTTATTGTACTGTGTGCTGAACAAACAGAGGCAGTGAGCCAGAACGCTTTCCCAACTGGTGTGAAATGTTGCTGCACAGTGATACAGTAGCCGGAATGTGGGAGTAGCTCAGCTACACTGCTCATCAGCCTCTGACCTGCCCAGGCCCCGGGGATCTGTAGACCACCACTGAGGTTCCCATGTAGAGCGATTAAGAAATGAAGCCTGCAGTTTCACAGTATAAATCCAGATCTGCTCTGGAGCCTAAATTCCACTGGAAGACTTGTCAGGCCCCACAAATCATTAAAGCCTTGAAGTGCCCCAGTTTAGCATCTGTAAAGAAGCAGGAACTCAGGGTTGCAGAGGGTAAGCTGAACTGGTCAGCTCCGGAAGCAGAAGGAACACCAGACCTGCTGTAATCTGAGTTTACAGGGCAGAGGAAAACCCATTTGCTCCTTTCAGCATCCAGCGTTGGGAGGAGGGAAGCTCTCTGGTGGGAAAGAGCTGAGCAGCTCAGTCACCTTCACTGGCTCTTATTGAGATAGGAGTGGGAGTCGGCAGATTTTGGAGAACCTGCTGCACACAACAGTAGCAGAGTGCTCCAAACACTCCCCTTGCTCCCTAGAAGGGAGCAAAAATACTTAGGTTTAGACCCATATACTGTCATAGTAGCCCAACACCCTTTATCGGGTTTTACCACAAGATGTCAGTGTGTAGATCTAGCATAAGAACAAGAAGGTGGTTGTTTTTTGCTTTGGGTTTGGGTGGTTTTTTTTTCAGAGAGTGTTTTTGCTATCTGCCAGTCCCATGTGAAACCTCCCACACTGCCCCCAAAGCATCTAATCTCTCCTGCTTTTCTTCACTACCTCCCCTTCTCCTGTTGATTTGAGATAGTCAGGCCTGAGCCTGGTACACAGTTATGCTGTTTCTCTAAATCATGTCCTTAAAAAAACAAAGCTAAAACTGGAAAGAAATTGTTTCTATAAAGAGAGCGTACATCTCTGAGACACAGCGAGAGAGAAGGAAAAGAGGAGTCCAGGAAACAGAAGGGACAAACGGGATTCCATTGAGTAGAGTGTAACCTTTGTGTTTTGGCTGCCTGCCTCTTTCTCTGGGCAGTGATTTGAAAAAACGCCTGTGTATCTTTGCTCAAATAAGGAAATTCAGTATAAGAGTACAGTTTAATCCAGTGGCTGTGTCAGAGTGGCCAGTTCTACCTACGGGATATTCTGCGGGATATTCAGTGCCCCACTTCACTTACTGATGATTATAACACCCTAAAGGAAATCGTAACTAGACTCTCCCCTGCTAATTATTATTTCTACTAAAGAATCCAGAAATCAGGAAAATCTAGATCCAGTTGCGTTATGCGCTAAGCAACACTAGGGTTGTACGCCTTTCCTATAATCTCTGTATTTGTCATCAATTCCCATGGATTTCTGGACCTAGCTTGCCAGAAGCTGCCAAGCAAGCAGAAGAAAACATGTGGAGCGTCCGTTCGCAGACAAAATTGGCACTTATGTTTTGGAAGCGTCCTGGCTGAGCTGTTGAGAACAAAGACAGTATTTGGAAGGAACAGTGTCAGCTCTGAGTCACTTCTTTGTAGATCTCTCCAAATATTAGATACTTTTCTGTGTTTTTTACCAGGGGGCGGTGAGGGGGTGTGTGAATTTTGTTTGTAGTGCACAGCTTGCTGTGCGTGAGACTTGTAATTTCCTTACTGGATGGCTGAGGGAGCTATAGTCCTGCAGAAAGTAACTGTAAATAAGTTGTTGTAAATGTTGTCCTCTGGAAATGTTAATATGGAGAAACATCTCTTGATTTCTTTATATTTGAACTGCTAAAAAATCTGTTTTCTCCATGATGTTTTCACAGGTCCATAGGCCATGTTGTTAGCAGAGAAACAGAGAACTTGCAGGTGCCTTACTATGTTGATAAAAACTTTGAAAAGAATTATCAAGGTGCAGAACTTCAGGAGCTAGAGAAAACCGTTGAAAAAGACTACATAGACTATATTCAGACGAGCTGCTGGAAGGAGAAACAGCAAAGTAAGTTGTTTTGGTTATGAGTGTGTGCCTACAACCCATCGGTAGTTGTACGGTGGCTATGCTTCACAAAGCACTGCTGTATTTAGCCTCATTTTCTGATGCTTATAACGTCTCAAACCTTGCAGTGGTATTTCTCACATCTGCTCTCAGCACTGTATGTGCTATTCTTGAGGGTCTGTCAAAATTCATTTTGGGTGATTCTGAGAGACAAGCGGAAAGAAGATTTCATCATTTGAGACTGTTTTTTCCACTCAGTTTTTATACTTGATTAACTCTTAGTGATGATGTTTTAAATATATAATCCGCTGCTTTTATCTAGCTTCGACAGATTGTTAGGGCTGGAAAAGTTCTTGAGACATCACCTATTAGACATTTCCTTTGCTGGAGCAGAATGATTTCTGCTTTAACTGGCTCCATGAGAAGATTATTTAACTTTTCCTTCAAAACTTCATCAGAAGGAGAGCCCAGAGCCTATTCAAGCGCTTTTGATAATCTTGCAGTGCACTGTGTTACTGGTATCAGTTTTCAAAGAGCGTGCTTCTGTACTTGTTTTGTGCGCTTATTTGCATTTTCTATCCTTAGATGAGTTTGAGATCATGTTTTTCACCATAGTCAAGATTGTCTTTAAAAAACAAGAACTGAATGCAGAAAGGGAGAACACAAAAATGTGAGCATTCAAAATCGTTATTCTCATGTCAGTCCTAAGTCAATCAGTGGCACGTCTAAAGGCATGTATTTTAACCTCATATTGTCTTAATTGTTAATTATTACTCTTCAAGTTCTTTTAAAATAGAGCAAATCCCTGCTGCTTTTGTAACTGTACAAAATAACAGCAATCAGATTGCAAGGACTAACTGAAGTTGGGGTGTTGCGACTGATTTTTTTTCAGCTAAAGAACTCACCACCTTAAAATGAGTAAACACAAACTACGGCTGTGCATAAAGGAAAGTGGAGGAAGTTGTTTCTGTGTAAATGTTTAATAGGAGCAGGCAAGCTGCTTTCACACACTAGTAGGGCTTTCTAAAGTGCTGCATTGTAAAAAAAGTCCTCGGCACACTACTAAAAACTGACTTCGCACCTGTTTACAGTTTCTTTACCAATTGCATCCTTATGGAAACATACACTTTGTCTAAACAAGACCAGTCTAATCCTGTGCTAGAGGTAACAACAGCATCGCTGACTCCAACTTTTTACAGATTTTAGATGGGAAGGGTTGTTTTGTTTAATTTTACGTAAAAGTTACCAGTCTTGCTTTTAAAGAGAAATATGCTCTGAAGTTAGAGAAGAACCAATAATATAAGACCATGAAAATCCCAAACAGTGCCTTGGGTTTTGGTGCGCTTGCCTTGTGATCTTTGAGCATCTGTGGCTGACAGCAGCAGCAGCCCCCAAGTACAACGTGGCTGTTAATAACCATGAATGTAGGCTTCACGTGTAGGCTTGCTATAGGGATAGAATTAATTTCTTACAGAAAAATCCTTTTAATTGATGTTGTGCAACTGAAAGTTGCCATATTGTCTCTCTCACGGAGACCTTGAGCGAAGGAGTGCCGTGCCCCAAAACAGGCAGCAGGGTTTGCACGTCTTACAGGGACAGGTAGTCAGAGAGGGGAAGATGATCCAGCACTGAGTGCCAAGTAATGCCTGCAAAACGGTGCTCCTCTGGAGCTTTTTACACTTAGAGACTTCATTAGTCACACATCTGCAGATAGATTTACAAAGTCCACAATTAGCAGTAGCCTGAGGAGACCACTGTAATTAAAAAAAAACATTTTCGGAATGATTACCATCTAGGCCAGCGAGCAGGTAATGAGCACAGCTGAGACTGTGCTAACTTTAGTACAGCCAAGTTTGTAAAAATAAACTGTGAATACAAGATAGAGCGCTGGGGAAAAGTTCTCTGGGGCTGTTGAGCCAGTTCTTGGTCAGATGTTGCTTCGTAACTTTGCTCCATTAATTCATGTTTAGGTGGTCCACTTTTTTTTTTTTTGTCAGTTGAACATCTATTCATTTGTTTTGTTTAGTGAGGGCGCATTTCTCTTTAGCACCAGCAAAATGGACATAGGTTAGTTATATAGGAACAGATTGATTTTTAAAGTCCTTGATTTTATGACTTGAAAAGTCTTACCTGGTGTCCAACTACCTTAATGAAAACGTCCAAAGTAACTGATACATCAGGATCTTGTTCAGCCATCACTTTTATGCTGCTGCATGAGATGGTGTTCCTCCCTTCCCAGCAGAACAGTGTGTGGAAGTTGTGTCTGCTGGGGTTTTTGGTCTTCCAAAGTCTTTGCTGCAGTTAAGGACAAAACCTGCGTCCCAGGTTTTTACAGGAGATAGTTCAGCTGTGATAGCACAATTGTAAAGTAAGACTGCAAAGAGCTCCGAGTTGTAGAAAATTACAAAGAGGCAACCGAAAATGGGGAGAATAAGATGTGGAGTTGGAATTCAGTATTTTAGGACTTCCTTAAAGAGAAAAAGTTCAAAGGAACAATGCTGTGTGAAAGATTGAAAAACACAAGGAACGGGCATGGCAGAATGAACGCTGTCAAGAGCGCAAGCATTCGCTGTGAATAATTTTGCCCGTTTGGATAAGCGTAAACTACGATTCTTCACTGCAGAACTCCAGGGACTCCGGAACTCAGAGTCAATTATCCGAGTCCAGTTTTGCTGAAGGCTTGTCAAGGCTATGTGCCCAGCACTACTAGAGTGGCATTTCAGTTATAAAACCTGAAAATTGATGCCTGAGCTAAAATAAAATGTTCGTGCCTGTCGGTTTGTAAAGCTTTTCAATAAATAGGTGGAGGGTTCAATGGCTTTAAATTTCAGCGGGACGGGGACAGGGGACGTTAAGGCATAAAAGGGCCTATTGAAGTTCTTTGCGCTCTGAATGATTTTGTAAAATGAGGGACTTGTAAGGAGTATAAAAGCTCTTTGAAAAAGTGAGTGTCATCAGGTAGCCTGTGCTTAGGGAAATTTTGACCTTTTCAGAAACAAATCACTGCTTAGGTGCGTCTAATCCTGGGTCTAAATTATTCTTCAAGGAGAAAGCTATATTAAGAATTCCTTAGCTAATCAGCAAAAGAACCTTCTCTGAATTACCAGGGGAAATAATTTAAACAATGAGATTATTTCAGTTTTATGTTGCTTTTGAGAAGAAGGGGAAGAAATATGCAAAGTACATTCGAGATTGTAGTTAATGAAGGAGCACGGAGGCCTTTCAGACAAGTCCCTCAGCTATTCACCCTCCTGTAATCAATACCCCCC